TCACTCAGAGCCATGAAAATGTTCTATGCTTGTAAGAAGTCTAAAGTTCTTGGCCTTTTTCCTAAGATCATTTCAATCTGGCCCAAATTTTACTTGGCTTTCTAAATTTCTATTCAAATCTATTCATCCTTTTCATGTTTCCTTTGCTCAGAAAGCCCATTACCTATTTTGACTATGTCTAAAATCCTCTGCCCACTTCTTAGAAGGCTAAATTCCAGTGTCTCTTATCTCTAAGAAACCTCAATTTTTTTTTCTTGTTGATTTTATGTATCCTCTATTCTCATGGTCAGATGCAATTAGAAAGTTTGTTGTACACTTAGTCTCTAGGTAGCTCATGAATTTACTTGAGATAAGCCCTGGCATTTCAACATCTGAATCCCCAGGTACTCAGAAACTTCCTGCTGCCTAGAAGTAACTCCATAAATGATTACATGAAGGAATTACATGAAGTCAGATGCTGCAGAAAATAAAAATGAATAATTGATTTTTAGTCTGGGAGAGAAGAGGACTAATTGCAAAACAAGCATTTTTTAAGCATTATTTCAGAATGAAATAACAAACTACCTTTCTCTTGATTTGTTTCACTTTTTTAAAAAAGAAAAGATATTTCTCCACCTGTATTTAGTGACACAGTCCTGCTAGAAGAAATAATAACTTTTTTGGTTTGAAATACTAATTAATCATATATTTGTTGCAATTGTGGAATTTTAGAATCAACATACTTTAACTTTTTAGAAATTGGTCAATGGAAAATAAATTGTCTTCCCCAAATGATCCTAGACTTGTTCAAACACAAAGCTTGATAAAACATCACAAACTCATATTCAAACTATGGGACCTAGCAATGTAGCTAAAATACTTCTCCTCAGTCAGTAGTTATTATGAGTCAGAGTGCCACACATTCAATATTATTGCCAGGGTACCACCCTGGTTCACCATCCCTGCTTCAGCCCCGATGTGTCACTCATGTTGAAGTCGTCCAGTAAGTGGAGAGAAGTTTCCTACCGTATTAAGAAGCATATTTCACCAAGATTCTGAAGTCACATACTTTTTGTTTCCTGAAATACTAGTTGCCCAGATGTTTTTGGATAAGGTCTCTGGCTCAAACTTGTTCAGGAAATAGGGCAGGAGGAACACCTACTTTTTATTTTAAATGAAAAAAACCCCACACACAAGAACATTGCACAATAATAATAAACAAATGGTTAGCTAGTGATGACGTTAAAGATCCACATCACTGTGATTTTATTTTGGTCATGGAGGAAGCAATTATGAGTTTTGAGGTATTACAGCAGTAACTAATTTAAATGACTTGGCTTAATTTAATAGGTTTAAACAGAAACATGCCAATGTTAGAACTAAGGACAAAACTACTTATTTTCTGTTTCTAGTTATAAGTAAAGAACTTAATGGACAGCAGATTTGCAATAGAATAAAGAAATGCTACCTATTTCTGCCTCTGAAGAACATAACCCTGGAGTCAAATACACATCAGGAAATTAAAAATCATTGAACTACTGAATTTGTGCCCCATAAGGGTTACCCCTATGAGTTAGCATCGCTGATTTGTCACATATTCTCTTGAGTGCTTAGAGTAAAATTTTAAAATCTGTACCTTTATAAAATCATTGTAAAAACAGAAGTCGTTTTAGACAATTTACCTACTTCTAATTCCTCAGAATAGAGGGGATGAGGAATACTTTTTCTCCTCAAAGTACAGTTTGATGTTACCCTAAAGCTTATTGAAATCTTATATTTAACTTTTTAAAAAACATAATTTTTGAATTTTCGTGTAAAATCTGTTTTTTTTTTTAACATGGAACAATTTTCCAGTTATTTATCACACAGTAAACTTGGCACCATCTTTCAGCTGGGAGTACCTCATTTATAGTGAGGCTTTAGGATCCATTGTTTTACTACCCAAGAACCTTAGCATATATGCCAAGGGCAGAGTTCTAGGCTGTCTTCTATTCCCAATCTCTCAGTGAAATATCTTTCTCTGGGTCAAGGATGTAGCTCAGTGGTTCCACCACCTGCCTGGCAAGTGCAAGGTCCTGTGTTCGATCCCTGGTACCAAAAGCAAAACAAAAAAGAAAACAAACAAAAAAACCTCTTTAACAGCTAGCAAAATTTATTGTTAATGTTATAATGAGATCTGCTATCTTAATCTTTACCCAATATATAGCCATATCAAGATATTTCCATAATATGATATAAATATTCCAAATGTGAGGATTGTAGAAATAATAATGAGTTGTTGGGGATGTTTCTAGCTAAACAATTAAACTCCCCTTCTTATGGCCATCAAAAGGTATCGGTTCCTGCAAGGCCTACCCCACACAGGGTCTGCCCTATGTTTCCACTATCCACCTAATACTGGGAAGAAGAGTGAGTCCTATCTATTGAGCACTTATTTCAACTCAGATATTTTGCTAAATGCTTGTACCTTGCTGCATTTAAACCTCACAACAATTTTCAGAGAAGGGCACTATTGTCATCCTCATTTTATTTTTCAGAAAACCAAAACTCAGGGACACTATATAACTTTTTCTACATCACACAGCTATTCCATTGTGGTTGCAGAGTTTTAACCCACACAGTGTAACTCTGGAACATTACTCCTGTAGTTTTCCTCAGTATGTTAGATTAAATCCAAGAAGAATACTTTGCTATGAAGTATATGTTTTTCTTTGTAAGATTATTTTCCAATAATCCCAAAATACTCTTGCCTTATTTCATAGGCTCTTATGTTCAAATTCTTATTTTTCACTCATGGTTCCAAACCCTAAGAGAGACCAGGTCTCACTTAAAATAGAAAAGAATATTGTACGAAGTGTCCTCGTATAATTGTTGGTTTGTAACACTGAACAAGTTTTTATCTTCTCTAAATTTCAGCTTATTTAATGATACATCTTCCTATCTGTCAGGATACAGAAAGAAAATATCTTGCATGACATTAATTTGTATTTAGATTAATTGTGAACAGTTATTCTAAATTTAATTTTCCAACAATAGCTATTTTTCATTCTCTACATATGCACTGATTTGACACAATGAATATCAGTAACTATTGCAATAAGATTTTTTTTAGTAGGGGGAAGATTCTTAACACATATGAAAATTAATCTTAATAATATCACTGGTATTGGCAGTTATGATCATTATATTTTTTAAGTCCTAGAGGAAGGACAGATGTTTAACTGTCAGATGTTGGCCCTAGAAATGCAAGGAAAAGTTTTCACTAATTGCAGCTTTGATCACATAAGTATATTTTCACCCTACATTATTTCAACAAGATATTTTATAATTTCCTTTTGATTTTTCCAAATGAAATACATTAGAATTTACTGGAATGATATAAATGCATATGTATGTGTATATATATATACATATGTTTGCACACATAGAAAATGCATGTTTGTGCATATATATAAAAATAGACATGTACGTTATTCTTTTTGAACACTAAGCAATTTTGAGAACTTTTTTTAGCAAATTATTTATTATGATTTTTAAATGTTCAAGTATTAATCAATATATTCAATATTCAATAATCAATAATCAATACTGATTATTTTGCAAGGCCCAATGTATTATACTCATAGACAGATAATATAACTGAGACCATACACAGAGAGATGAGATGTACCCAGGAAAGCATTCTTTGGAAAGATACAAAAACACTGAATGGAAGCAAAGGAGCCCCAGCAATGTGTAATGGGATTGAACTGTGACCCAATAATAATATTTTTCTAGAATTTAATTATATAATTTTGAAACTAAAACTAAGATATTATGAAACCTAAAAACAGGGTGAAACCGGATTTTAGTATATTTACTTAATAATAAACCACTCCAAATACATAAATAAATTACCTCAAATTCATTAACTAGAAGAGGAATTCCTTGGCTAATGGGTCGTGGCACCAAGATTTGATAGTCTACAACCCCTCATCTCTCCCACCTTATTTTTGACCTTCATTAACCTCTTTAATATTTGTCTCCTCCAAATTTTAGTTGCCACATTCCTTTAGTTAGCAATATATACAATCATCCCAGTGGGCCTCTTCCCTCCCTCTCGTCCCTTAGTTAGATGTAACATGTTACCTGTATCCTGTTCTAGGCAAGCAGCCCTCTTTTGGGAACATTCTTGTCCTACCATTTCTAGGCATTCTGGATAGAGATACTCAATTAGTTGTTGAATTGATTCCTTCAAACACCTCTAAACATAAAACCCACTCGTCTGTTCCTTTCTCTTCTTTGGAATTTTCAAGATCACTAAGGCTCAGCTGCTTTGGAAATAGTATTTGTTGAAGCTAACGGGTAAATGTGGCTCTGGAAGTTTGTTCAACACCAGGCAAGGGATGGACACAAACTCTTAGGCACATCACTGGTCCCAGTCTCTGGGGAGAAACAACATGAACACGATTTAATGTAGACTTACTCAGAGAACAATGCTCTAAGTTCTTTATTAGATTTGATTTCCAGTGCACAAATATCTTAATTTGGCTTAAAATAGCCCACACACATTCTAAGCAGACTACTTTCCTCCTTTTCCTTTCCTTTCCCCCTTCCCTCTTGCACGTCCCTCCCTTTTTTTCTTCCGGTCTTATCTCTCCTTTTTCTCTTTACCATAGTTTTCCCTCCATTAAAAAAAAAACAACTTATCTGCAACCATCCTTTAACCAGCAGTCATAAACGAAGCGACCCTTCCACAAGCGAAAGCAGAGCCCTTGGTGGGGCGTGGCGGGGACACCTCCTTTAGGGCTGGAGGACTTCAAGGGGAAGTCCAAGAGTTTTCAGTCCAGGAAACTGGGATATCAGATCTGCTCAGTTTCACAGACAGTTTGGCTCCTCTGTGCTATTGGACCTCCAGAAGCAGCAGTGCTTTAAGGGATCAAGAGCCCGGGCGCTTTTACAGTGCCCTTCCTGTCCAGACTCTGGAGAAGCAAGGGGTGTGAGGGCGGAGCTACTGGGCGGGCAATATCCTCTCCAAGGTTCAGCCTTTGCCGGTCTTTCCACCACCTTAGGGGTTTGGCAGGCAGAGCGATATCACCCTCTCAATGAAAAGGCAGATGTCCCTTTAAGGTCTGCTTTTCCGGCCCGTGGACTTTAGCCTAAAACAGGACCCGCGAGTCTGGCTTTATTTGTCCATGTCTCGGACAGAGCCTGGGAGGCTTGCCAGTGAGATTTTCGACTGAAAGCACGAAGGAGCGGACGATGTGGCAATCCGTTTAGGAGGTGAAAAGCGTGCAGCCAATTTAAAGGATTTTGACCAAAAGACAGGAAATCACTTCTCAGCCGCTCCCGGGCTGTGTGACCGGCCGGCGCAGAGGACGGAGACACGCGCAGACCGCGGAGTGGCCCGGAGCTCGCGGCGTCGGTGCCTGGTGCTGCCCCCCGGACAAGTACGTTCTCGGGGCGCTGTTGTGGCTCCAGCCATGGTCCCCCGGCGCGCTGCCCGCCCAGAGGTTGCTGTCGCCTGCTTATGGCTTCTCACCGGTAAGCGACTCCACTCTGCTCCCAGCATCTCGGGGATCCAAGCGAGGCGCACGGAGCTGTGGCTGGAGAGCAGGAGGCAGCAGCGCCCAACCGCTCTCGGGCGGCCAGGTGGCCTGGCCAGGTCAGCTCACAGAGCGAGTTTCTGTCTTTGGGTTCTGACAGCACTTAGTTTCGGTGTTGCTTCAGTCTCCAGCCCATCAGTAGGAATGAGGCAGTGCTGAAAACTTTTACCTAATAGAATTAGATTTTCAAACTACAGTTGTATTTACCGTGTACACTGTATTTTAGGACTTGGCTGACTGGTTTTTCCACCCTTTTTTTTTTCGGGGATAATTAGAGAATGACTGATTTATAGTCAAAGTTCTCGGGTTGTTCGCGAGTGGGTATTCTGTCATTTTCTTGCGGGTTAGTATTTAGGATAGATTCTGCTAAATTTAGCCGAATAGATTTAGAATGCAATGTAAAATTCTCTCCTGTCCTGAAACAGTGCCTCTGTGTCAGCAACCGAGAGGAGAAACATTTCGAAACTGAGAAATACTGAACAGCAGAGACTATTTGTTAAGATGCAAAATAATAGTATTGTTTCACATAAGTGTGTATTTTTAAGGTGGGATTTTAAAAACACAGTAATGTAAAATTATATCTAATTTATAGGACTGCCTTTTTCTAAGATGATTAAATGATTAACTCTTGGTCGGATCTTTATATAAGTTACTGGCTTAGGAGGGAAAGTTGAAATGGAGACAGAAGGTAGAGGAGTGCACATGTAGGGGTGAAAACCTTAGTGAAAGAAAATGACCTGATTAATGCCTTAATGGTTGGCTTTAGCATATCACTGATGCTCAATTGTTTGATTTTTTTCTTTTTTTTACTGCTGGCATGCTTATTAATATTGGTTAGTGTTTACCATTAAAAATAAGAGGAAGCCATCTAGCTTAATGCTGCTTTAGGTGGCCAACCATTGTTAACTTTTATGAAGATCACTTAGAAAGGGATTACTAGCATGCAGAGCTTTTTTTCATAGTAAGGTGGTGTTAAGAGAGTTAATAATGAGCTATTAGCTTTTCATCCAAACATTTTCCACTTCTCCGGAAATGTCCAATAATCCAAACTGTGGTAACTTCTGAACAGCATTACAGCCAATGAGTGGTTTAATTTACCAGCTACTGTCACTACCCTTTACACAAGCTCAACCTATGATTCATCCTTAAGCCAAATTTTTGGAGATAGTCTGTGTTTTGTTGTTGCTATTAAGAAAAGTCTAAATAATTAGATAACAGCTCAAATTGTATCTTTTTCATTTTACCAAACAAGTAATCACTAGTACAGAAATTATCTAATTAGTTTTCAGCATCCTCTAAAAAAGATTTTAAAAAATGAAACTTTAAGAAGGGAGGGGAAGGTTAACAAGTTATAATTTTCACATATATTGGTATAGTATGCATTGTTGAATCTGGGAAGGGACTTAGAGGAAAATAATGCAAGATATTTTAAAATTATGATATTTGATTCTTTTGTGCTTGAGGGAATAATATTGAAATTTAGAATTGAAAAAAATGTTACTTAGAATCAACACATTCTTCATACAAGCTATAATTTATTCCCATTTCACAATACAACATTAAGGATCTGAAATTTGATTTCTTTCTTTTTTTAAATTTATTTTTCCCCCCATTAACTATTGGTACATTTTAGGTATAAAATACAGTTACATTCATCATTGGGATCTTGTACCATTACATGAGTCTCTTGGTTCTTATTTTTTCC